CCCCCCCCTCTTAGGAGCACTTCGTACTTACAGGATCTTCCTCACATAAGATTGTAGGTGCATCTTGGGACATGAAACCCCATCATATTTGGAAAACACCGACACCTTGAACTTTTGCGGGATGACGACCCCAGAAACCAAACCCAGCTCTTCAAAATCCAGACCTGGTACCTTTCGGACCTCCATTGCATTCAAACGATCTTCCAACTGTTTGTATTTTTCATCAGCAGGAGGATACTATTCCTCATCATAGTCAGATTCATCATCAGATTCTTTTGGACTGAAGTCTTCCTCTCTTGTTTCCTCCTCTTGATTGTTTCCTTCCTTTGATGAAGTTATCAATTCATAGGCTCGCTGCACTGGTCCTCTGATCCTTCTTCCCAAGTTCACCACACCAGTTGGTTTCGATTCTTCTTTTCTTTAACAAGCAGGGCTTTCAGTTCTTCTTTCCCCTTGGTCAGAGCCATGATCATCTGTTGAAACTAGGCATTCTGAGTCTGTAGATCCTTCACTGTTTGTTCTAGAGCCATTGTTAAAATAAATAGCAAAGAGGATGAGAAACCTTCTTTGAAACCTGCTTATGCAATGATATGTATGATATATGTATGCAATGTTTTCAAGGATTTCTAAGACTCAAATTTGCTTAAATAGAAAGAGAACAAACGTTAATTGTATTAAGATATTTTATTGATCACAATATTGCCTCTTGGGCTCACAAAAGGAACAAAGCAAAAATAAAATTTTCCAACCAAAAGGAAGACTTCAAGCTTCCCACAGGCGCATCATCTTTTGGTGAAATGTAGGAATTTATGCTCCTCTCCTCGTGAAGTAACCGGGTGAGCTCTAAAACCGTCTTCTCGCTGGCTTAGAATTTGGTTTCAAAGGTATCCCGTTCTTCTTTGAGTTGGATCCAGGATTTCTGTAGCTCCTCAAAATCCGTTGGCATATCAGGATGAAGAACAACGTAAGGAGTGTCTCCTTCAGCAATTGGCTCCACAATCACTGGTATAATGGCAGGGTAAGGTATCATAAGACATTGAGCACGAGCTCACACCCATTTGAGTTAAGGCTCAAGAGGGATGGAATTCTTGTACCCCAATGTCTTGCTATCAACCTTGTTTATCATTCCCCAAGCTCGAATAAACCTTTTGCAATAACCCTGAACATCATTCTCATAGTCAACCGTGATTACTTGGACGAGTGTGTCGTGAGGACCATCCCTTCAAGCGTAACCGAACTGTCACAACGCCAAACAAGGATTATAAGTGATTCCTACCCTAATTCCCAAGAGAGGGACATTAGGGAATTCCCCACAGCGATCAATGATGGTGACACTCTCCGAGGACCGAGAACACCAATGAATATCCAAATGTGTAAGGGACATCAACCTATGAGACTATCTCATACCATGTTCATTCTTCAAAATAGACCGAGGCAGGTGCGAAATAAACCACCTAGCCATTAAAGGAGTGAAACACAGAAGGGTCCCTCTTCTCTTTAGAGTGCGAGTATGCAAAGAGTGTAGAATATCCCCAAGTAAAGTAGGCACCGAATTATGAGACAAAAAAATCTTAACCGCATTCACATCTATAAGTTGGTCCGTGTTAGGGAATAGTAACATCCCATAGATGAGGGGGCCCAACACTTCTTCAAAAGCTTGTAAATCCAGGCTATCCCAAAAGTAGTGAGCTTTCCCAAATAGAAACTTAATTGGAAATCCTTGGATAGTTCTTCTGGTTTCCCAATTTGCCACTACATCAGACCATTGTAAAGACAGAGCTTAAGAAATCTCTTCAGGATTTGGGTATCTTTCCATACTGTTGAATGGTAGCTGATTAAGGATAGGTACCCCCAATAACTGAGAAAACTCCTCCATAGTAGGCACTAACTGGTAATCAGGAAAAGTGAAGCAGTGGTGTAGCGGGTCAAAGAACTGATATAGCACCTTAAACATTTCTTCATCAAGGTTTGAAGTGACCAAATTGAGAAGTCGACCATGTTTTTTAATGAAGGGAGAGCTTTCAGGAATCCTTGATGCTAAGTCCTTGAGTTGAGGAGGTACTTTCACAAGGTTGATTTGGATAGTGTTCCTGCGAGCGGATGTCATGTCCTACAAAACAAAACAAAGATAAGCCCTAGAAAATCATTGAAATAGTTAGTATGATATGCCATGTTATGATGTCATGATTATGCTAAGAAATTACATATATAGCAAGCACAGGAAAATCACACCAAGAACATAGGTTTAAGGCTTACATGGGTTTTAAGGTAATACCCTCTTAAAGTTGGATTAGTTCAACCTGTCCTATAAATATTAATCAGGTTCTAAGGGATCTTAATATTATTGACCTTTCCCACAAGCTTCGTTTGATAGGCGACTGACTCATAACCAAACAAAACTCAAGAATCAAGTCTCAATGAGTGTAGCATCCAGTATCTGCCGACTTTGGGAATACACCAAAGACGGCCATCTCGTTGCATCCTAATGGCCAAGTTGTTCATTTAGAGGTTCTAAGGTCAGTTGACGCTTCATGACACCATGCAGCGGCCATGTATTCTCCTTGATTAACTCAAGGGCTACCGGTACCAACCAAAGTGTCGCATCAATGTAGCCATCGCTTCAATCGTGTCGGTATACCCCGCACCGTTTCCATGATCTATTGCTACTTACCTAAAATATTTTCCCAAATTCTGGTGTAGGATCTATAGTAACCCAAACAGTACCCTTAAAAGTAAAGCAAACAAATAGTTAAAGAAGCAAATTGATCTAAACTATAAGGTAAACCCCACTTTTTATTAGTCCCCAACGGAGTCGTCAGTTCTGTAATACGGTGGCAGAACCGACTGTTAATACTGGTTTACGTTTTTTGTTTGTAAATGTCGCGGTAAGCAAGAGTCGCCATTGACTTTTCTTTTATCCAACAAAGGAAAGGGTGAAAAGAACAGAAAAAAGACCTTTTTCGAGATTTTCTGAGTAAGGGGGGTAGATTATGGAAAGGGAAGGTGTTATCACCCTTTCCATATGTGGTTTTCCACGGGCTCTTAGGTACTTGCTCATTTTTGAAAAATGTTTGTGTTTGTGTGTTTTAAAAGATTTTGTTTGTTTTATGGTAACTCTTGTATCAGTCCTCAAGAGTGTGATAAAGCATTTTTAAAAAGTATTTTGAAAAGCGTGTAAGTGTGAAAAAAAAGAATCAGGTTTGAGCAAATACTTAAGAACCGTCTACCTACTCGAAAAAGGATATTCTTTTCCTCATTTTCTTCAGATAGTGCTATCCTACTATTAGTGAGTAGGTAGCCCTATCGTTGGATGTTGAGGGACTATCGAAAGGGACGTTATGGTCATTGAAGGCAACATGTAAAGATACCTTAGCATTTAAAGGGATTGTTATCATATAGGCAACATCGAGGGACAAGACCATTTCTCGTAGGCAACTCGAGGGACGTTTAGGGACCATGATCTTTTATGATGACTTTTGAACTGAGTGTCATTTCTAAGATATCCATACGTTCGAGGGACATGACCATTATTTTCTGAGGCAACTAAGTGTGGAATACCCTAAGGGTGCAAGTGTGAGAAGTGTGTTTTTTCAATTATATTATCTTGAGGTTAGTGATCTAATAATTAATTGACTTTATCTTGTCATGCACGCCTAAGTTACTAACAATTATATACAAGCATATAAAAAATGTAAAAGCGAGAAATAAATTCCTACTGCTATTACAGGGCTTCTGGACAGTTACATAAAAGAGGTGCACGAAAATAAAGTGCGGAATTTTAAATCTAGACTATTACATCCCATACTCAGTTACATCATTATATAAAATGCGAGAATAAAAATAAAGCGCGCGAAATGAAATATTACGTCTAAAAAATCCTAAGAAATAAAAATAAACAACAAGAAAATCTTTTTTTGGTTTTTTGCTAAGAGAATGATTAATTCTAAATTTATTTTTAATTAAGAAAATAAAAGTTGAATGAAATGAATCCTAATTCTAATATTTTTGGTATTTTTTTGTTAAGAAAATAATTTAAATTAAAGAACCTAAGTCTAATTTGATTTTAAATTGATAAAATTGCATTAAAATAATTAATTAATTAGTAATTTTAGAAAGAAACTAATCCTAATTATTATCTTTTTTTATTTTTTATGACTTATTAAAAAAGGATTTTTGAAAATAATAAACAAAATAAAATAATAAAATAAAATAAGCAACATGGGTCTGGTTATCAAAAACAAAAATGGGGGGTGTTGTTGTCAAAATGCTTGGGCCAAATCAGAATTTGTGCTGGAATTCAGTGAGGAGCGCCTTTGATGGCTCATGGTGCACCTGCATATGGTGACCTTCTGATCTAGATCAATCAAGATCTAGTGGTGCTGATCTAGAGGCACATGCTGGATTGGCATAGATAGCGCGCACTGGATCTGTAGTTAACAAATGTTAGAAAAATAATATGCTGGACCTGGGACTCGAACTCAAGTCCTCTCCCTTATACACACGCCCCATCACCATCTGAGCTATTGTTCATTCATTGATCCAAATAAGAAAACAATATTATATATCAAATCTAATCAATGATATTCAAAAAATAAAAAATGTGCGCGCTGCTTTGTATCATCCAGTAAGAGTCTGCCACGCATTCATCTTCCACCTTTGTCCGTCATCTTAGCCTTGGACCTATAGTGACAATTTTTGTCTATGACTGTAGCACATGTAAATCAAAAAAGACAAATATATGCATGATAAATTCATGGTGAGGCCATGGACTGATTGGCCTCAACCTCCTGAGCACAATGGTACCCTTGGTTGGTCCTAATTTTGGGTATTTCAAGAGACCCCAATTTTGAGCTTATAACCCTAGCAATGGTGTTACTCGATTCCTGCATTAAAACTAGAATCTAAACATATAGAAAGCTTGCAAACACAAGAGTGGTCAATAATACATGATTAAAATACGTTTATATCATGTAAATTAAGGAAATCTAAGTCAAGAAAAAATGCAAACCGTAGGGCGGTTGAAACACGTTTCAGACTGCTTTAGGACTTGGGAATGGCTGGGAATGATCCAGGAGGGTTCCAGGAATATGTTTGAGCCTTTGTTTGGGATTAAAACCCACTGCAATTTGAAATTCAGGTTTAACAACTTTGGAATTTTTTAGTGAAATGTGCAGCAATTCTCTAGGCTTTTTGTGTGTGCATTTGGATGGCCTGAGTGTTGTTCTTATAGTATAGAAGGAGGGGACACCATTTAATGTAAAACATTATGGCCATAACTCATGTTTTTCAACAAGAGTCTAACAAATTCAAGGCCTTCCAAATTTGCCAAAACATGCCTTATCCTTGCTTGGATGAACCTGGTCACTTGTGTACGAAATTTTGGGCCTCTAAGCAAGCCAAAACACTAGCCCACATGCGTAAGCCCATTTCCAAATATTTTATACCATTTATTTTATATTTACTTGAAATAAATTAAAATAAATATGTAAAAAATAGGTAGAAAATACAAGGCTATGCAAAAATAATATTATAGGTCCTCTATGAACTTAGGAAGATATTTGAATCTTAAAAAGTTAGGCCATTGATCCAAAAATTCAAATTTGCTCAATGCGCCATTCTTGAAATTTCCAAAATGTTCCCAACTTGGGAAAGCCATAACTTGCTCAATTTTTATCTCATGATGACGATAGTGTACTTTTTAGAAGTCCTAAGATATCTACTTCAATCCCTCTTTTGATCAATTTTGCATTTGAAGATGTTATCTTGATGTAAAAAGTCTTGGAAAAACATGGCTTTTGTTGACTTTTTGAAAATGACCTATAATGTTTGAGCTCATATCTTTCAAATGGTGCATTTCTTGATCTTGGGGGCTGAAGAGAAGTTATAGGTAATTGGATTCTCTTCAAAATAAGCTTTGGTAGGAAATTGTTTGATAAAGTATGACAAAGTTATGCTTGGTCAAAGTTTGGTTAACTTTTCTTATAGAAACCCTAATTTGCCATTTTTAACTTAGGAGAATTTCTTGAGGAACCATGATCAATCCTTGATCAAATGATGGATATCACTTCAAAATGTTGATGTTGACCAAAAATCTTGAAGTTTGACTGTACATGGGCCACAGTTGACTTTTGACCTAGCACAGTTGATTTTCCAATACTTGAGCAATTGAGTGAGCAAACTTATTGAGCAAGGCATGAAACTTGGCATGGATGATCTTGAAGACATATTATGACCATGGAAAGCATTTGAGACCTTTCGAGCTCAACCATCTTGATGAAAATTGAAACCTTAGTTGGGGGTTCATTGCCTTAGGAGGAGAATTATCTAGTCAATTCTTGGTCACCCTTGAGCAATTGAGAATCTCTAGGAGTATGTCTTGTGTAAAAATGGGAGGGAAAATTTTGGGGTACAACAGCCCACAGTCCATAAAAAGATTAAGTATTAAAATAAATAAATAATGGGTTCAACAAGGGCCATGTCAGGTCGGACCCGGATCCAACCTTTTCTAAAACAAAGAAACATGGGTTCAAAGTGAACCCTAACACAACCACTTGTCAAATCTTGTTCTCACGACAGTTTCCCTATTCTTCTCTCAATATTTCAACCAAAAAAAAAACAATAGAAAAAACAAGTCTTCTCCACCATTCTTCACCCTCAAACTCGCCTTCTTCCTCGATCTATGAACAACAAAAACCCAAGCTAACACCTCGCTTTCGCTTTTCTCTCCCTAAATCTCTATTTCACGTCCTCATACTTGTAACAACAACCACTGTTTCTCTTTCAAGTATCTCTCACTCTCACCCAAGTAATAAATTTAATCATATCCAGCATGAACTCTCATAGAAATTTGGTTTTGAATAAGAACCCTCAAATAATTCTAGCTGAAAACATGTCTACCTCATTGAGTCAGAGCAAATATTTCTGAACCCTAATCCCAAAACTCTTCCCTCTTAATCATTAATAGAGTCTGAAGATCCTCAGAGGTTGAAGGCGTTTCTTCATTCTTCTCACTTCAATCATCCTCTTTTCTAAAAGAAACAGAAGGAACGAAAGTTTAAAACACAAAAATCAGGTCTCTCCAGCAAGCCAGTGATAATCAATGTTCAAGCGTTTTGCACCATTGCATCAGGATCATCCCTCAAATTTTCAATATGCTAAGAAAGACATATAACGCATATTCATCGATTTGGTTTTAATATCTATCTTAGTGTATGCTTTTGTGAGACTTAACCGTGTAAGTGATGGTACAAAGAAGGTAGAGCAAACAAACATCAGAGTAATAAGGCTTCAAATATCATGAGGAGTAAAGATGAAAAAGTGCAAAACAGAGGCAGAGTGACTTACCTCAAGGTTGACTCAGAGATGAAATAGAAAACCAGATGTAATAAGCTGCTCCTTGATCCCTTCTTATTTTTTGAAATGATTTCGAGCAAGATGGTTGTGATATTGAATAGAAGTCAGTGTCGTGAATCAGATTCTATAGGTTACTGAATTTGGAGTTTGGAGGAAGGTTGAGCGTGAAGATTAAGTGGTTAAGGCGAGTTATGCATAGGTTCAAATTTTGAAGCTTGAGGAGATTTTGGTTCAGGTCTGTAATAAAGTGGAAGTTAAATTTTGCAGGGAGATATATGGTGGCTGATGTGGGATTGAACAAAAACTTTTTGGTTTTTATGCTGAGTCAGTTGACATGTGAGATTTTAGGGATTATGGTTTCTGCAATATTATTGAAGAGGATGGGGGTGAGATTTGAGTGAAGGTGTAGTATAGGTAAAAAGGTTGGGTTTGTGTTTAGAGGTTTAGAAGCAGAAGTATAAGGGTAATATGGAGGTAGTACTGGAAGAAGTTTGAGAGATTTCTGGGTTTGGACGGTGAATTGATATTAGGAGGACGAGATTTGTATAGGTTACAGTTGCTTTTGTTTTTGAAGGGAGTCACGACTTTTTCTTTGAAGGTTTAAAGGTTGAAGGAGGGATTGAGAAGAGTTTTGCAATGGTTTTGAACAAGGTTTTTTGTGTTTTTTTCTACTGATACTTTCTCTGTTGCTCTCAATGTATTGTTGGTATTCTCTCTTGGTTTGTGTTGAACAAACGTCTTTTTATCACGCCCCCTTTGTGAGTGACTTAAGGATGAATTTATAGGTTAGAAAGATGAGATTTTGGGGGGAAATGAATGGTATTTGAACATTTTGTGATACATTATTTTAACACTTTTTGTTGCATATTTGTTTTTGGCTATTTTGATGTATTTTTGGATGGTTTTGACAGGTTTTGGACTGGTATATGCAGTGGACAGCAGGAGGGTTTTGTGGATTGTTTTATGCAGGTTTTGTGGACAGGTCTGGATAGGTTTTGGCATGTTGTGCAGGTTGGACAGAAGCTTAGTTGTGTTGGGACAACAGGGTTGTTTACACGGTTTCGCTGTGTTTGGACATGTTTAAAGAAACGGTATGCATTGCTAGAGTTAGTTTATGGATGCAACTTGAAGATATGAAGCATGGTTGGAAGAAGCTTTTTTTTGTCATAGACTTAGGATTAGGAATAAGAGAATTAAGATCTTTGGTTCAAATTTAAAACTTCAAATCATTTGTAATTTTTTTGTATCATTTGAAAGGAAAATCAAGACTTTTAAATATTGAATGAGACTTGAATCTTGAATGAAACATGGAACATTTCCTTCTAATGAATTTTCCCTTTTGAGAAGAATGCAATAAATTTTGAATGCATCATTTGAATTTCCAATCCTCTTTGATTAATACTTTTGAAATCTCTTTAAATTTCTTTATAATTTTCTTTGTAGATTTCCTTTGTAATAACGGAAGACACATTGAATAATACAAAAAAAAATCCTTTATGAATCCCTGAGCCTTTTAATACCATGTTATCTTCTCGAATGACTTCAACTATTATGACTTGTAATTGAACTTTACTAAATCCTTCCATGTTAAAATCTATGGCCAATACCTTTCTCATTTCCCATCATTAAATTCATGGCATAAAACCAATTTACCAAACATGCTCATCTCTTGAAGAAATCTTAGTTGATGCTTGAATCTCAAATCCCTAATACCTTGTACTTGAAGCAAACTTTTAATTAACTTTTACAAACTCTATTTGAAACCAAAGATTTTGAATGAAATTAAAAAGTAAAGTCTTGTAATTCAAGCAACTAAAAGCAAGCTCATTCGATTAACCCTAAGAAAATTCAATGAAACCCTAGTGTGGACCCATTGCTTAGGAGGAGAATTTGCTTGATCAATTCTTGAGCCATATTGAGCATTTGAGAACCCTAGGAGGATGTCTTGGAGAAAATGGGAGGGGAAATTTTGGGGTACAACATCTATAAATCCAAGTCCATTACTTGCAGAAATACTATTCCAAATCCCTTCAAATTAATTCACCGGGATCTCCTGAGGAACGAAAGAAGTCCCCAACAGCTTCATCAATGCATTTCTATGGGATTCAGAATCTTTGAGCAAAGCAAGAATTGATATCTCTGAGGGTTTCTGACTCAACTGGTCAATGATCTTGTAATCACTTTTCTTGATGTACCTCATCAACTCAGCTACATCTTTAGCCATTTCAACATCCAAAGCAGGAACATGAGGATTTTGCCCCGACTTATCACTATTGACCATAATCTGCTTTCCCTTATCCTTAGTTGCGGCATCTGTTCTACTCTCAGGCTTTTCAGGTGGCAAAAATATTCGACCACTACGGGTAATTCGACGTTCGCTGGAAATATCAAGCACTGCGGGCTTCTCTTCTTCAGACTTGTTTTCCTCAGACTTTTGAATAACAACCTTCTTCCCCTGATAGTAAAGTTCACCGCCGTAACTCCAAGGAACTTCCTTGTCACTAAAATATGGCACAGGACCAGGCACAATGATAAGTAGTGGAGATTTCTTAGCAAGCACTAGAATCGTCACAGGCGCACAACTAGACTTCGGCTTGAACGGAATGATTATCATACCCACTTCATCATTATCAACCTTGGGCTTAACGACCTTGCGATCAAACTGAAGAATCCCCTTGGTAATCAAACTTTGAACCGCATCTTTCAAAAATTGACAACCCTCTGGCTACTTCAAAAAACTACACAGTCCATCCCACAGCCCAAGAATACACCTTTACTCGACAACTGTTCTTTCACAAATGAGATAGGTGTAGTTAACTGATTAACATCCATAACCAAATTCAAACCTTCATCCTCCATGATGGCACTAACAGTGTGGCATCGTCATGAGGTGGCAAAGGATGATTAGTGTGATACAGTGGGAGAGCTGACTTGAGGTTTTTCATTTTGTATTCGCAAATGTTTCGGTTGAGCAAGAGTCGCCACCAACTTTTTATTTTATCCTAAGGAAAGGTTTAAAAAGCACAGGAAAAACCTTTGAGATGTTTTCTTGGGTTCGGGGAGTAGATTATAGAAAGGGGAGGTATTAGCACCCTTTCTATCCATGGTTATCCATGGGCTCTTAGTTACTTGCTTAGATCACTTGCTTTATATTTTCAATTGTTTGAAATGGTGCTTCGTGTGTGGTTTTGAAAAGTGTTTTGAAAAAGAGGCCATCGTTGTGGCAACCTTTGTAATGATTCTTGTTTGAATGTATACAAATGTGTTTGTCTTTTTGAAAGGTTTTCAATATTTTGAAAGTTGTTTGGAAATTTTGTTGTGGAGTGTGTTTTGAAAAATAGCAAGGATGTTTTGCAGGATTTTTGATCAAGTAACTAAGAGTTGTCTACCCTATTTTACTCAAAGATCTTTCTTATGTTTTTTAACCCTTTTAACAGTGTTGTTTCACCATTGCATTTGGTGAACAACCTTGTGTTAGGATGTAAACGGGACGGGCGCGGGTCATTGTATAGACCATGATAGCAATGTTGCAAAGTATCTTAGTTTTTCTTTTGAGGGACTAAGATCATTTTTGTAAGGCAACTTTCGAAAGCGTCATCGAGGGACTATGATCTTTTGATTTTGTTTGTTTTACCAAGATACTTTGCATGCGTAACATGGCCCATTTTTTGAAAGGCAACAAGTGGATGTAACCCTAGGGGTGTTAGTGTGCAAGTGTGTTTTATTGCATACAAGAGTTTATCTTTGAATTAGGATTTTCTATTTCATTGATTTTATCTTGCCATACACATCCTAATTACTAGCAATAAGAAGCGGAAATACAAAATCATACCCTATTACAACAATTAGGGAGTGGGGGTACACATTTGTACATGGGGGGTTCAACGAGAAAAATAGACAAAAAAGAAAATAGCAAAAAACAAGATAGAGAGAAAGAGAGAGGGAGCCAGCGCGCTACTGAGAGGTCATCAGAAGTTCTGACTCAGACCCGCTGCCAGATGATCAACCTTTTGGTTAAACTGTATGAGTCAGAACTTCTGACTCTAGCACCTGCAAAACAGAAACCTGTTAGTGGGAAGATCAGAAGTTCTGACCCCCCTGCGCTGCAAGACAGAAGTTTGTTAGTGGGGAAATCAGAAGTTCTAATCCTGCTGGAAAGACAATAACTCTCAGAAGTTCTGATATTATTGACAGCAAAACGGGCTTCAGATGTGCTAACGTCAAAGTCAGCACTTGGCTTCTCCCTGTGCTAATCAGAACATCTGCAATTTTGTTATTTTTCCACAAAACAGAAAACATATTTGGAGCAGCTCCAGCAAATGTCAAAGTGTTTCAGAGGACAGAACCAACAAGGTCACAGGCAGATTCTAGGCTGACTCAAAAACGTTCTGAGGTATGAAGATCCTCAAAACATAAACAGCAACAACATGATATTTACATTATGTTTTTTTTGAGCATGCAAAGTTGATGATGCTTAGCAGCGTGATGAAGGTCAGCAGGTGCTTACCTGGCTGTTGGAAAAGTTTGTGGATGAGAGCTAGCTTTTGGCTCTGATGGTATTCTGGACAAGTTCTTTTTGAAAAGGGTAGGTGAAGGTGTATGCGTATATAGGGTCAGAAGTTGAAAAGGGTGTTCTTCAGTTCACAAGGAAAACTGGGTATTTGATGAAGTTTGAAGGTAAGAACTTCAAAGTTATGAAACACTGGAGATTTTGGCAGAGTTTCACAACACTTTCTTGCTAAAGATTTATGTTTCTCTTCTAGCAATTTTTCTGTTTCTTTGGACGCCCTCTTTCAGTGGACAATGGTTCTCTATTTATAGGCAAAGCTCTTGTGGATTTCTTGAACATTAAAGTGCCAACAGAGGCTGAGTTGTTCTTTGAAAGAAATTCTTGGGAAGTTGTGACCACAGATAGCCTTTCAGCCTAGGCTGGAACAGCAGGCGTGGATTGGAGAGAAGTGACCTCTTAGGTGGACGGTGGCGCGTAGACCCATGCCAGAACCTGCATAAAGGCATTTTTCAAGCCACACGTGAAGGGATTACTTGGATGAATGTTCAGGAGTGGTTGGGGAGCATTAATGAGCATTAAATAGTGATAAGACTTATCAATACCAATATTCTGGTAGTAGAAACAAAACTTTGAACCAGCAGTTCTGTCTTACCAAGAACAGCGTAAACCATGCTCCGGTCTTGGCCTCCTGTTGTCTTAGCAAATTCTGGGGATTCTCCTGACCTTCTGACACATTCCTTGGATTTGCTTCTGGAAATCCTGGATTTAGAGATTCTGTATTAGTGTAACATCTACTCTTCTGACCTTTTCATCTTTTGATTTCAGCATGTTCTGAAGGAGCCTTCAGACTTCCTTGCTTCTTTTGCATTCCTTTAGAAAATTTTGGCTGAGCTTGCGTAACTGCTGAAAGAGTCATGTTCTGTCTGAGACTTACGTATTGAACCACGTTTGCAACTTCTGACCGAGTGGATGTAGCTGCTGAAAAGCCAAATTCTGACCGTGTTGAGCCAAGCTTGCATCTTCTGACCGTTTCCATCTGAAGTTTGGTCCAGAAGTTCTGAAGCGCTACTTTCTTCTTAAACACCCATTTTTTAGAGAAAAATTCCAAATGCTTAGAATTTAATTTTTCTCAAGATAAAAGCGTTGTCTTTAGAGCTTGTGTGATCATTTTGCTCTTATAAATGGTTTGCTTGGGCAAAAATGATAATTCAGGACTTGGATTTATTTCAGAGGGACTCTGAGAATCCAAGATGATTTCCTGAAGAAAGAGAGGGCAAATTTTGGGGTACAACAGTTGCCCCTGTTCAATCTTCTTGCACCTGAAGAGTTAGATTGGCAGGCTTGCCTTTCGTGTCTCGAAGGTAAAAGGAGATTGGACACTAGAGTGCCCTTAAATTTGCACTCGTCAAAACAAAGGGATGCGGAAATGGGCTTAGAGATGCCATTTGGAGATGGGCTTAAAGATGCCATCTGGAATGTTCGTTGAACTGCAATGTGACTGGACAGAAGAAGGAGGATCAAAATGGTATCCGTGTCTGGAATGCATTTGAACTGTATCCGCAGACTGAGTTTGTATGAGCAAAAGAATGGCCTCCGTGTCTGAGGCGTATCTGAGCTATAACTGTGC